TATCAATAGCACAAAATTTAAGGCATAATATGGGATTACACATTAAGATTCTAACAGAACTTGAGAATGAAATGATTGTTAGTGGAAAGACAAATGGGAGAAGATGAGAATAATAAATCATCTACAGGACATAGAGAATTTGATTTTGATATTACAGGAATATAGAGACTTAGCAGTCAAATTCCTAGAAGGCAATGCCATAGATTGATCTATAACAAGAAGGTTGGAATGTTGCAGAAGCCAAGTATTCTGGGTAGTAGAATCCTGACCCATAACACAGGGAAGGGAAGCCATAGATTCCACCATTCAGGGGTCTGAAGCTACTGGATCTACAGCCCACTGAGTAGCAGCTTCTAGATCCATAGCCCAGGGAACGTCAGCTGCTGGATCCAAAGCCCAGAGACCCAGCATATGTTCCCTGGCAGGGACTGCAAGGTGTGGAGCTTCTCGGGTAGTAGCAGGCTGTCTGGCAGGGTCTGGACACCACACAGGACCTCTGGCAGCTGGTGGGCTCAATGCAGATCTCCTTACACCTGGTGTTCAGAGAGGAATCCACCTGGCAGGGTCTGGACACCACGCATGACCTCTGGCAGCTGGTGGGCTCAATGCAGATCTCCTGACACCTGGTGTTCAGAGAAGATTCCACCTGGCAGGGTCTGGGAGAGCAACTGGTAGTGGTGTAGACCAGGTTGCTGGGGTAGGAAGAGCCACAGGAGGAACCTGAAGAGGGCAGGCAGCGCCTAAAGGAGCGGGAGGAGAAGTTTCCAGAGCAGCAGCTGTAGGTCATCTTGAGAGGCGATGTGAGGTCAGCTGGATGTGCCTGAGAGGATTCTGAGTTTAAATGTCAACCTGTGGAGAGCTGGGTTTATATACTCTCAGCAACAGGTGTGGTACCCTTGTGTCTCATCTTTGATGAATCTATGTGCTTCCTGGTTTACAAATGTGCAGTTGCATATGAATAGTTTTCTGAACAGTGTACTTATGGGTGTTGCAATTTTCTTATAGTTATGACAACAAGCTCTTGCTATGTCATAGGTGCTATGACTGTTTTTCACTGATACTTATGTCCAGGATAATTTCTCCTTATTCCTCTTTCCCTGACTTTTATGTGTTTGTCAGAATATTCTGAAGATCATACTTTCTTCCACAGTTTGCTCCTATTACTTGTTAATGAATTGGAAGCATCACTTACGCTCCCTTTGAAGTCTACTGAAGTAACCTTATCTTCTGCCATCATTTCTCATTTTCTAATATTATTTGTGAATGCATAACATTTCCCATATATTTCACCACCACTACCCCAGGCAGAATAGGAACACAGTAAATTGAATGAGCTCAAATCTAAGATGTCAGAAAGAAGAAGCAGTGAGTGATTGCAACTGTGGTGAGAGCAAAGACGGCACTGAGACAGAGTCACAAGTTCGGGGCATTTGCCCCCCATGAATAGAGTCAAAGAAATGCGAGAAGTAAACTATTTCATAGACTGTGTATCTAGCATCTGACCTGAGGTCATAGAGTTCTCATCTGAGTTCATGCAGCAGGGACTAGTCAGTTTTAACAATTTAAAGCACAGGAGGTCCGGGTGACTAATGTCCCCTACACTGTGGGTTCTGTAAAGACCTTGGTTTGCAAGAAAGGAACCCAGGCAGTGACCGAGTCTAGGGGAGTAACATACCTAGGAGATTCCAGTGGCGAACTATAACCCAGGGTGCAGATCACCAGCCCTAATCAAACACCAAGAGGCTACATGGCTGTTGGTGGACTTTTTCTTTTTCTTGGAACCTAATATTTATTGAGACAATTGATGCTAGAGCTGAGACATTAGCTGTAATTAAGAAGAAATCAGAATCACTGAGGTGAAATCTTCAAGGAGCATTTCCTAGATGACTGTGGTCCAGGGGAAGGCGAGACTGCACCTCATGCTGGTAGCTGAACTTGCTGCTGTAAAGAATTACCCATACGGTACTGGTTTTGAATACATGAAAGTGTCATGGAGAGCAGCTAGAGCTTGGAACTGTGTAGCAGGACTGGAATCCCAGAAGAAAGACTAGAAGAAACCATTAATGAAGGTACAACGTTAGTTGTACTGGAGACCCCAGCATGTGGAGGCAATAGGACCACGGGCAGACCACCACCAATGGTAACAGCTGTAGAGGAGAATCAGTCTGAGTCCTTGAGGTGATCTACAGGACTGTGGATAACATAGCTGGAGAAGTGGAGCTGCTCAAGACCACTTGAGCCCAGAAATTCATGAGTCCTAGGCATTAGACACTGAGTTATTTATACTTCTGAGATGACTTGGGTTTTTACATTGATTGTAACTGTGCTCTGGTTCTTTCCTATTGCAAGAGAAAAAACAAAACTTCTTCTGATTTTACAGGAGCCTACAATTAAGAGACTTGAAATGATAAAGAGAGCGAACTTTTAAAGTATTTGAATTTTTATAGAATGTGAGACTCTTTAAAGTTGAAATGTATTTTATATTGTGATATTTATATCAATATGCTATCTTGGGGATAAGCTAGAAAGGGAAGGTTATGGTTTAATAGTAATCGTGTGACAAGCTGATAAGTGGTGAGTGGTCCTAACTAGTTTCTTTCTCTCCTTTTTTTTTCTGTCAACTTGATATCAGTTGGTGTTATATGGGAAGCAGAACTTCAAGTGAGAAAATACTCCTATCGTATTCACCTGTAGGCAAGTCTATGCATCATTTTCTTAATTAATGACTGATGTGGAAGGCTCCATCTCACTGTAGGCAGTGACACCACCACCAGGCAAATAGTACCTGGTGGTAGAAGTGGCAAACTGAGCGAGACTTGAGAAGCAAGCCAGTAAGAAATAATCCCCCATGGCCTCTGTAATCCCAGCCCCCGGCTATGCTACCAAACCTTGGTCCCTTACCAGGAAAGGTCAAAAACCACTCCCACAGGCTGTTTAAACTGCACTCCAGAAAATAAAAGTAGTCTTCTCTTTCAGAAAAAGAAAGAAAGAAAAAAAAAACAAATGCAAGAAGTCTCAACGTATCTAATCTTATATAGCTTTGAAATTAAAAACGATGCTTGGTAGATATTAAAGAATTCTGATACACGTTTAGTCTTCAACATGTCAAACAGAGTTGAGAAAGAAAAGTATTTCAATTGTTTGCTTATTTGTAAAATCTCAGAGTTTTATTTTGGAAGCTGTGTGCAGGCTACATGTAAATAAGATCTACGAAGCCCACCTCTGTTGCTCTCACACATACTAAAGAATATATCCAAGAGTAAAAATAATATAGAAAGACAGTTTGTAAAATATTCTCAGATGAAAGGACATGTTGATGTATCAATTTTGATGCTTATGGTTTTTGTTTCAAATCATGTTTATTCATGGCAATGCAATGTTTTCTATAAATATACCTAAAAATTAGCCTAAAGTGCTAGTTATAATTAAATATAATCAAATTATAAGTTAAAAGACAATTAAACCAAGACATGGTAATAAGGATAGAACAGACAGGGGTGAAAGTAGTTATTGATGAACTATGGAAAACCTTGGTTTCCAATGTTTCTTGGGATACACATTTTTTTTTCAGATTTACTATTTTCCATGTTAATCTTTGGAATGGTGCCATTTGTCTGACAATATCATCAGGTAATATATGTGAAGAAAAAATATAAAGTATATATGCAACTGAATGAAATTTTCTTATCATCCTCACTAAATATGGCCAGGAAAAAGACTCCATCTGAATTATCTGATATTTCACAACTGATTTTATTTGTTTGTTAGTTTGCTTGTTTTTTTTCAAGACTGGGATTCTCTGTAGCTTTAGAGCCTGTCCTGGAACTACCTCTTGTAGACCAGGCTGGCCTCATACTCACAGAGATCCTCCTGCCTCTGCCTCCCGAGTGAAACTGATTTTGTTTTTAAGTAGTATAAGCATGATTTGATGCACTCAGGTTTTGCGCATTGTTTTTGATCTTCAGACTCTTCCCTGTTGAAATAAGAGCGGCGGCGGGGCTGCGTCCCCAACACCCCGGCCGCTTGGCTAGCTCATGCCCGAAATAACAACACACAAACTGTATTCATTTAAGAACTGCTTGGCCCATGAACTCTAGCCCTTACAGGCTAATTCTCGCACCTGGACTAGCCCATTTCTAATGATTGTATGTAAGCACCCCAAGGCTCCCGAGTGAAACTGATTTTGTTTTTAAGTAGTATAAGCATGATTTGATGCACTCAGGTTTTGCGCATTGTTTTTGATCTTCAGACTCTTCCCCTTTGAGAAGACTCAGGAGCAAGTGACAAAGTCAGAGACCTAAGCAGTGAAGTGATTGTGGCTCAGCCTTGGTTCTGTCACTTATGATCATGCAAAGTCCCATCACTGTCTTCCTTTCTTTATTCCAGTATTCTATGTAATTTGATATTTCCTGACTTATGTTGTTCCCATGATACTAGAACTCAATCATGTCGGGAGTGTGATGCAACCCAACATACAGTGTTGGAAAATAAGAAGGATGGACAAGTAAGGTCCATCTTCAGGAGGTTCCATAGGAGGTTTCAGGAGGAAACACAATATAATGATTCCGATCCATTATTGGAACACCAAATTACTGCCATGCCAGACAATGAGGAGAAAAGTATTTCCCTTGTAACATTCTATGATGAGACACATAAAAGTTATGTCAAGAGGAAACGGAGCGATTTGTTTGCAGGACATGATAAAATAGTCATCACTGCGAAAGAGTCACGACACGATTGGCACAGCAGTGGCTCATCAGCTTTTACTTTAACAAAACGACAACACCCACAACCATGGTGTGCAGAAAAGTATGCAAATGCAATTATACAGATTACTCAGTTTCATATCTGTAAACCAGGAAGCAAACAAATATGTCAGGATAGCCCTGTTGGGTACCACACCTGTTGCTGAGAGTATATAAGCCCAGCTCTCCACAGGTTGACATTTAAACTCAGAATCTTCTCAGGCACATCCAGCTGAGCTCACATCTCCTCTCAAGATGACCTACAGCTGCTGCTCTGGAAACTTCTCCTCCAGCTCCTTTAGGCGCTGCCTGCCCTCTTCAGGTTCCTCCTGTGGCTCTTCCTACCCCAGCAACCTGGTCTACACCACTACCAGTTGCTCTCCCAGCCCCTGCCAGTTGGAATCTTCTCTGAACACCGGATGTCAGGAGACCTGCATTGAGCCCACCAGCTGCCAGAGGTCATGCGTGGTGTCCAAGCCCTGCCAGACAGCCTGCTACTACCCGAGGAGCTCCACACCTTGTAGTCCCTGCCAGGGGACATATGCTGGGTCTCTGGGCTTTGGATCCAGCAGCTGCCGTTCCCTGCGCTATGGATCTAGAAGCTGCTACCCAGTGGGCTGTGGATCCAGTGGCTTCAGACCCCTGAATGGTGGAATCTATGGCTTCCCTTCCCTAAGTTATGGGTCCAGATTCTGCTACCCACTGTACTTGCCTTCTACTGCATTTCAACCTTACTGTTATACCTCAACTTGTGGATCTTGCCCCTTTGGATACAGCTGTTAAATCTCTGTAGTCCTGCACTATCAGTGTGAAGGTCTCCATGTCTTGCAGCTGCTGTTTCCAAACTCACCCCTTCCCACTTTATCTGCATGTTCTCCCAACTACTTCTCTTGTCCTCAACTTGTGCCAGATTCTCAGATTAAGGATAACTCAAAAATTTGCTTTACTGTCTGTACTCTCAAATATATATTTGGTTTTCATCCAAGAGTATGTAAAATTAAAAACTTTAATCAAATAAAATTGATTTGTGCAATCAATCTGACCCCTCAATTTATTATTATATTATTATTTTTAATAGTCCTAAATTAAGTATTTGGAAGTCTTTTATAATAACAGCAAGACTATTTGTCTGGATTCATAGTGCTCCTTTTGTGTACAGGTATGCGTTATTGGGAATAGTCGGTTCTGGGAAGACATTCATTGACATCTGCAAACAGGGCTCAAACTGCAGCGAAAATGGCCCCAGGTTGAAGGACATGAATTCCTACTGAGCCAGAAAGGCAAGGCTAGTATCAAGAATATTATATTCTATAATTTAGATAGTGAAATTTGTACAAAGGCAAAAATGTATGTTGCTCTAGAATATGAATGTAGATTTTTAGACAGCAGACAACATGAGTTTTAAACAGTTCTCAGGACGTTGGACGTTTCCTAGTACTGTGTTAATGCTGGTATCCCTGCTTCAAGTTCGGGGTATTATTCCTGTACCTCATCTTCAAACGGGTGTTTGAAAAATCCACTGAACTGTGCTTAGAAGGATCTGAGATTGCCTGATAACTTCTCCCGCCCACAACTTCAGTCAACAAAAGAGCAGTGTATCTATGAAATTCTGATTTTATATTCGGTGTCACCTTAAGCTTCAAAGCAGACTTGAAGCTCCACACCTGTGTGCATTTTTTTTTGAAACAATGCCTGAGGGGGGGGGCATTACAGGTATTATGGAAATTAAAGGTTTAAAAAGGTTTGAAAAAGAAACGAATCTGTTTTTTGAAAAAGTGTGTATTTTAGTGTGTTTATACAAAACAATTGAAATGCACCATTAAAGGGGCTCCCAGAGGGCATTTTGAAAAACACCTTTATCTGTTGGTCCACAGAAAGGAAGCAATTAGGTTTGGATTAAAAATTCCACCCCAGACCCAAACGCAATCCACATGTATGAATGTTTGCCTGTGTGTATGCATTTGCTCAACCTGATGTCTGGCACCTGCGGGGGCAGAAGAGGCTACTGGATAGATTGGAACTCGAAGTATCGATAGCTGTGAGTGCCATGTGGGATCTGAAAATGGAACCTGGGTCATCTACAAGAACAGCAAGTCCTCTTAGCCACTGAACCTTCACCCCAGGTCACACTGAACAATTGTTTAAGTGTTTGCTAGTCATTTGTGTTTCTGGTTATGACATTTTCAAAATGTATCTATTTTATTTTATTTATTTTCTTTTTATTTATTCTTCGTTCAACAGTGAATCTAAACCTCAGCATCTTGTAAACTCTACTCCTCGCAGCCCCTTCCCCACCTCCCCTCTCTTCTTGCTCTACTGCTCTTGTTTCCCTTCAAAAAAAAAAAAAGCAAGCCTCCCAGATATCAACCGAACATGGCATAACAAGACAGAGTAAGACCAGGCACAAGCCTCCTATCAAGGCTGGATGAGGCCATGCTGGGTGAGGAAAAGGTCCGGAGAGCCAGCAAAAGAGTTGAGTCACTCCCAACTCCCACTATTGGGGTCCTATAAGAACCCCAAGCTAAAAAACCAAACTGCATGAAGAAGGCCTAGTGAAGACCTTTGCAGGCTCCATGACTACTGTGTCAGTTTCTGTGGACCTCTATAAGACCTGTTTAGTTCATTTGGGCTGTGTTCTTTTGGTGTCCTCCACTCTTCCAGCTTCTAAAATTCTTCCTCCTTCTTCACAGCAGGAACACTGTGCCTAATGTTTGACTGTGAATCACTGCATTGGCTTAGCAATGCTGTGTATCAGCTGCTAAAGGAAACATCCCTAATAGTGAATGGGCTAGGCACAGATCTATGAGTGTAGCAGAATATCGTTAAGAATTATTTCATTGATTTTCGCGGGGGAAGGGTCAATTTTTTTGGTTCTATCCTAGGTCTAGTGCTGTCCATCTTCCAGTGCCTGGCCATCCTGGCAGTGTGAGACATGGGTTGCCTCTCCGGCCATGCTCTCAAGTTAGACTAGTCATTGGTTAACCACTCCCACAAGCTCTGAGCCACCATTGCCCCAGGCCATCTTGCAGGCAGAAGAGGTATGAAGGAAGGTTTTGTGGCTGGATTGGTGTCCCAGTTCCACCACTGAGAGCCTTGCCTGGTTGCAGAAGATGGACTGTTCGGGTCCACACCCTCCTTTACTAAGAGTCTGCACTAGTGCTACCCTCATAGGTTCCAGGTCATCTCTACTGTACTAGGTTTCCACATCGACCCCTAAATGGCCCCTTATTCCACCCATCTCACCCTGTGCTCTCTCCCTTTGTCTATTTTATTTTAATTAAAATATAATTACATATTTTTTTTCCTTTTCGGCCTTTAACCCCTTCCATGTTCCAATTCCCTAGCTCCTACTCAAATCCATGGCCTTATTAAAATGTATT